TTTTTTTTTCTCACAGAAGTCACTTCTCTGACTCATCAAAACGCCTCTTCCTCTCCTTCCTTTGTTTTTAACGGTTATTTTTCTTTCTCCTCTTCCCCCCACCGAGCATGACACTTGGTCCTACTTTCCCCAGACGGGGCACCTATAACAGCCCCTCTAAAGACTCATGGGCTCTCCTCCCTGTGCACACCGGCTCGTGCGCTGCTGTGTGGGTGGCGTACACTGGGTGTATCCCTTGATTCGCTGAATTTTTATGTATGCTACTTGAATTGCAAGTTTGTCATCGTAATCCAAGGGTTGGTGGAAAATTCCTAAAAATAAAATAAAAAAAGCTATTAAATTTAAGAATTATTTGTCTAAATTCCTAGTGCTGTTAAGTGAACATGCGCGGCACCACAACATCCACACAGTATGTGGCCCGTGCGTGGTAAAGTGTAAATGGTCAATGTGTGTTATAGCCAAATGACATCTTTTCTTGCTCTGAGGAACATTCTAGCAGAACCAGTCCTATGCCATTAGCTGTACAGCAAATATGATTTCACGGCATCCATTGAGCCCTTCACCAAGAATTTGTGTCGAGGCGTTCATGTAGGAGCAGCAGGGCCATCACACTCTGGTCGATCTCATTTAGAGCTGGCATGCTTCACACACACCCTCTCTCCCCCCTACACACACACACACACACACACACACACACACACACACAGTGGTGTTGGGGGGGCAGTGCGGGTGTTCCCTGGCACACTAATCGGCATGACAGAAATAAAATAAAGAGAGTTGGACTCCGTCAAAACATGTATGGCCCCTTAAACAGAGAGCTAATAAAAGAGCTAAAGCTGCTTGTCCTTTTCAGCTGAGCCTGCCTGATCACACACCAACAGTCACATTATCTTAATTCCGGGGATTCTTTTAAGTGTCTCCTTAAACAACGGAGGGAGCGTTGCTCAGGGAGAGAAAAATGAGTTTACCAGTTTTAGCAGGGGTAAGTGCCTAAATCCAGTGCCATCGATCCCTATCTGGGTTATTACGAGGCTGTGAGCTGCCACTGGAGCTCGGCTGGTCGAGAGGGAAAAAAAAAAGAAAAAAAAAGAAGGCTTAAAATATTACGGGCTGAAGAGGGAGGAGAGAAGCGTTTGAAGCAAACCACCTCGTCCTCTGCACTGGTCAATACCTGCAGGCGCCACGAGGAAGGGCATTCACACATGCAAACACTCACGAGTGACAGTCACGGCCACCCCCACATTACTCTCTCTCTCTCACACACACACACACACACACACACGTAAAGGGATGCCTTCAGAACCAACAGATCGCCCCTCTGACTCCACAGGGGAAATTGATTTTTCTCTCTCTTGTCTTTTTTTTTTTTTCCGGCGAGGTGCTGGGCAGGTTTTTAACCTAACACTCTAACCTGAGTGTTAATGCACAAAGAGACATCATGTCCATTGATCCAGTGGTGCTGCCAGAGCGTCTTTAAATGTGTGAGGGGGGGAATCAACATGAGGAGGGGGTTTATGCTAAACTAGTGGGATCATAGCCTTCATGTCGAAGCCTTATTTACAATTTACAACACAGTTATTACCGTTTTCCGCTGCAGTCAGAATTATCATTTGATAAGGGGAAAATAGTCAGTGTAATGTAGCAGCCTTAATTGTACCACTTGTAGTTTGGGCGATAAACTTCACACAAACAGCTGTTGTTGGATGCAGAGCTTCATACAACACGAGCACTAATTTAGATTAAGCAAAAAGTTTGGCTCAATATAAAGCACCTGCAACAGTAGGACGAGAAAGGAAGTACTCCACCCCTGCGGTGTAGCACATCCTGCTAATTATTGTTTGAAAAAAAATAATGAAAAATACTAAGGATTAATAATACATTAAAGACAACCAGAAGAAGAAGAAAAAAAAATCCCAGCCATAAAACATATGTATTTTTAATATGAATCTCACTGAATCAATACCCTCAATTAGCAACAGCAAGCAAATTGCCAGGCGAGGCGTAATTACTCGAAGGTCAGTAGGTATTATTCACAGTCACTTTAGTTTACCACATTAGAACAAGACAGGACGTCGGGCTAAAATTATAAATTCCATTCCCATATCTGTCCTTTTCTGATTTAGATGGATGAAGAATAATTAACTCCTAATTATTCAGATCACTTAAGGCACTTTCTGGATCCACAAAAGAGATGCAGTCGTGTCTGTCAGCCCACTTCAGCTGCTATCATTTACAACGATCCAACAACTTGACCAATGACAACGGGACAAAAAATAAAACAAAAAGCCACTCCGGCTGCCTGTCTGTATCCCCCCCCCCCCCCCCCCCCCCCCCAAACCCCCTCCAGCTCCACCCGTTTCTACCTCAGAGGGTCTTAAAGAGGCACACTTCCTTTAAATTCATCCATATGCAAATTCTAAGATGTGATTTGCATTTTAAAGTATTTAACTCCCCATATTTATTGGGCTCTGAGGCCTTGCTGATCATTGATTTATGTGCTTCCGGCAATCATATTTCCATATTTTGTGTGGTTTTTAACGACAGTAATAATTCAAATATGCAAAAAGTTGTTCTTTGAACGATATCTTTAATTATATCCTCAAAGCATCATTCCTTTTGGTTCCTTTTTTTTTTTTTTTTCAGAGCCGAGATTGTCTTTGAATAAAAAAAATAAAAAAAAAGGCTGAAGAATCATAAATTAGACTGTGCGGCGGGACATTGACGGGCCGAACTCCAGTCGGTTACCTTATGCACGGGGAGACGTCTGAGCGTGTTGTTGCCCATCTCAGAAGCCACAAACAGACTCGGGGTGCTCTGCTGTACAGGGACCCGCGTGACCTTGTCCCCCAAGCCCTTTATTAATGCTGACATTCTTTCACCACAAATCCAGTCTCAGATGGTGAAATTCGTCTCTTATACTCAACCGAAAACAAAACAACAAAAAGCACACGCATAAAAAAACAACAACCAAGGAGACCTTCCCCCTCTGTTTTGCCACTAACACAGAAAGTTTCTCTGTCACCTCTCCTTATTAGAGTTGTCAGAGTGGCCGCGTGCTCTTATGAAAGCCGTCACCCACCACATGATTAACAGTGGCGGGTTCCCACCACCGTTTGGCCTATCAGCATCACAGAGCAGCCGTCAAATGTGTCGGCAGCGCTCTCTGCCCGGATTGCCTTTGTCACCTCGGCACGGTGTGGAAACTTTTTAGAATAATTGCTCACCCATACACGAGCACGGGCGACTAATATATTAGATTAGTAGTGTTTGGTTGCAAAGGGGGGGGGGGAGGATGTTTCGTTATCTTGTACTGTGAGAGTCAATATGAAAGTAGAGGAGAGATTCATTTAACAAGAGAGCCTTCACATTACACCACGTATGACAACGGTCTACTACACTGGTGGCAAAATTCTGCAACATCCATATCTATAGAATTTTTAAAAAGCATTTACATTGATGTTATAATAGGAAAAAAAAAGTATTATAACATATATATATAAAATATATTAGCAATATAAATATAGGTTTTTCTTTTAGCATGTTTTTTGTCACCTCACCAAACCTGCATCAAAAACAAGTCTGCAACATTTGTGTCTCTCTCTCACACACACACACACACACACACACACACACACACACACACACGCACACACATTTTCCAACATGGTGTCTCCTATTCATTTGAATGGCCAATTGCAATAGTACAAATTTAAATAAAAGAAAAATGAAGTCCAACATTCATTTCCTAAATTGTACTTGAAATATAAAGTGGTACACTAATTTTAAAAGGATTTGTTTATTAGAGCGGCATCATAATTATTAGCCACGGTAATTATTGTTATTACTGTAAAAAGAAAAAAAAAAAGATGTATAGATATTTTCTTGATAATTTGTATCATCCAAAAACACTCGGTGGTTTTACAGCGCTGTCCTTTTAAATGTTGAGGGGCTGGGTTCAGTACAAGCCAAACACATTAACACAGAGGCCCTTGGAGGATGCATTTCACCCCAATGTTTAACTATCACTGCTGAGTCCTGCACCGAGTGCACGTAACATATGTTATAGCCCCCCCCCCCGCCCCGAGACTCCTGGCACACCAAACTCCACTCCGCAATTAAGCTTTAAGCCTCACTCCAGATTTCTGCACATCGGCTCTAAAAACTGATCACTGCGGATCAGCGTTAAATTGATTTAATGCGATGTTTACGTCCGTGACATACAACACATGCACAGCAAACATACTTACAAGTAGCACCCACACTCCGCCGCAGATTTCTGCTTTTATCTTCAGAGTCGGTCTAAAAAGAGATTATGGCGGGCGGATGTTAAAATACTAAATTGATTATGTGACATTTGAATATGTAATATAAACACGGAACTGTACATTCACATTTACACACACGTACTATCATACAGAGGCCAGTCCACGAACACACACTTACGAGTGGCGCCAAAGCAGCAGTCGAACGCGGTCAATGAGGAGGTCGAGAGCTGATCAATTTACAAAGCAAATTTAAAAAAAAAGCCTCATGATAAAATCACTGTAACGCGTCGCAAATCTGTATAAACTCCTCCGACATCCGCTCTGAGTCGCACTACTGAGAGAAAGGTTTTTTTTTTTGTTAAAATCAGGATAAAGCAAATCAATTAGACTCTGTTGAAAATCCCTCATCTAGTGCAGCCGTGCTGTGAAACAGAGTGTAAAACTATTCTCTCTCCCTCTCCGGAAAGGTTATCGCATTGTATCTTATTGCCTTTACCTGCTCCTATTCACTGTGAACATGCACTGATTTGAATAAGCACCGCTCCAGAGGCTCTCTTATCAGATCCCAGACGGGTGTGCCAACACAGCAGTATCAGGTACACACCATCTCTCTCTGCCGCCCCCCCAAAAAAAATAAAAAACAAAAAAGGTTAGAAGAAAAGAAAGAAAGAAGAAGAGAGTGTTGGTGCATCTGGGATCTGTTGCCTGATAACATGATCTTGCTATAATCACATCCAGGCTGGATATGCAAAAGTGACCAAAAGTGGAAAGCAGTTAATCCTCCTCTGGAAATGATTCATCTTCCCGTTTTCATTTTCGGTTTTACGGTTCCTTTTAAAAAAAAATTAAATAAATAAATAACTTCTTTTCTAATCCCAAATATATTTTGTACAACTGCTGACCTACAGACTCATCAATTTATTCCATGTACAAAATGCAGCAGTATAATGTACTGAATTTTTAAGTGGGATATTATTAAAAAAAAAAAAAAAAAAATCATTAAGTGCTGTGATAAAAACAAATTGTAGATCTGCTAATGTGCAACAATTACCCAGCAAAGGCACGATATTTTAAAGATTTCATGTTATTAATAGCTTGCATCGGGACTTTCTTCCTCACTATCCACAGCCACAGGAACACAATTCCCCACAGATGCACTGGTTTCCAGTCTGGTGTCGTTGTTTGCTTTCGCTCTGTGAGGGGGGAAAACACCGGCTTGGGAAGGCATCAGTCAGTGAGGTTAGCGAGCATGGTAGCAACATGACCTCAGAAAATGTATCCTCTTCGGGTAGGTTAAACACACACAAACACACTGGCGCACAAACACACACACACACACAAACCCACACTGCACCCGCGCTCATTTCCCCGGTCCTCTTAACGGGCTAACCTGCTCTCTTCATTAGGGTGCTGTGGGGACTTATCACTGTGTAGTCTTTGTCCTTGCTGTAATTGCCCTCTCGGCATGTCAGCCCCCCCCCCCTTCCGCCTACCCACCCACCACCACCACCACCACATCAGCCCCACGCCCAGCCAGCCGGCCGGCCCGGCATCAGCCCCCCTCGTGACAGGCCTGGTTAGACGGCGGTGCGGGGAGCCTCTCCTGAGACCTGCTGATCGGCCCCTGAGGTCCACCGGTATAGAGAGGCTTGTCCTAGTTAAAGCAGCACCGGCAGGGACACCCACCCCCCCACCCCCCCTGAACGCTACGTCTGCCCTGCCACAAGCCCAGCCTCCAACTCCGCTCATTTACAACTGCACTAACACCCACTGTGGTAGTCTACCTTCTCACCAAAGATACGCGAGGGAGGGGAGGGGGGGGCATTCTGTTAACAAATTTCCTACTTTTGAAAGTATAACTTTGGCAAGCATTGGAAATTAAAGCACATTTAAATGAGCCGTCTCCCTTTGCATGCAGGCATCTACTCATTTAATCTACGGTACACTTTGCTGAAATCTGAAGACGACAAAAAAGCAGCAAGAAGTTTCACTCCATTCTCCGTCTCCCACCAGTTCTGACATCGCCACTAACCTACACAATTAGAACCCGTGCATGTTCCGCTCGTCTTTTGTTTTCAAATGCCAAAAATCAATTGAGATGAATGCTAAAAGAGTCGCAGATTTGAACGAACCTTTAAACAGAAGGAATAGAATCTTAATTGCGTTTCATTCATGCAAGAGCTCCACATGTACCACACACCGGGCAGCCGAGTCTGTGGCCGAGGCTTTTCTAGCAAGTTGAATGGCGCCATCTAGAGTCCAACGGAAAGACCACAAGTCAAGTGTTTTTGTGGCGCTCCCAACTGGACCTAAAAAAAAAAAAAATGTGTTGGTATTTGTTCTGGCTTTACTGGAAGCTTATGTAGACTGTAAAAGTCTAAGTAATCAGATTTTGCTGGGGGGGGCTCAGGAGGCAGCAACCGGGCTTTTAAGTGACCATAAAAGTGGGCAGAGTGAACCCCCTAATTTGAAATTTAACTGTAATAGACAGAGAGTTATCAGTGTTGCAGCATAATTCTGACCTCTTGTTTGTTTTGCAGAATAAACAGAATAAATTAATAAATGCTTCCTCTTCACATGGCACGCTCCTCCTCATCACGCTCGACATGTTTGGTATCCATTTGTTTTTTCTTCCCCCTGTGGGGTAATAGATGTGTCAGCGTTTTCACGGCCCGCTGCAAGGGGTTCAGACCTACGCCTCGGTCTGGAGGGGCTTGGTGGCTCCGGGGTTAACGCGGTGCCGTGTTGGGGAGAGCGAAGACAGCGGGGCCGACAAACGGGGCCTTCTACTTTCCCGGCCACATGTCCGCTCCTCTTTCCTGCTGGCCTGAACACTTGTAGATGCCCTGGACGGGAAGGCGAGCAACTCCATTTACCCTCCCTCCTTACGCTTTATCCAGCTACAAAGAAAAATGACCCCCGCTCTGCCCCCGTCAGGAGCTACGGCACAATTTGGTGGCAAAACCGTGACAGCCACAGAGCGTGCTCATAACCTCTTCCACCACTGAAGCCAACATCAGCTACCAGGGCCACGGAGGAGGCGGGCAAACAAACAGCGAGACGTAAAAGAGATGCGATATGCCGTGTAACGTTTTAATAACTTTGTTGCTCCGCATCTGAAATGCAAACACATTAAAGTGGACACAGTGCCCATCTCATTAAACGCACAGCAGTGCAAACATTATCTACCCCCCCCCCCCCCCCCCCCCCCCTATCTACACTTACATAAACTTACACAAAGACCTCATTGCCTTTCTGCATCCCTGCATCCATCCCTGCATCCATCCCTGCAGCCGCCAACAAGCCTTCGGGAGGGTTTTTTCTACGAGGGTGTTTTATGCTTCCCGCGGGGCTCGGAGACAGTGAGATGTGGCTACGGCACACAGAGGATCCCAGTCAAGGACACAGGCAGCATCACTCACTCCGCCATTATTTGCTCATATTTAAAGCCAGGGGGCTACCTGAGGGACTGCAAGCTACACATGCAGAGGAGGACGGTGTGATTTCAGAGTCCGACGGGTGTGCTGAGCGACTGAGAGCTAAAGGAGACACAACACGGGCAAGCAGGGAGAGAGGGGGAGGGAGAGGGAGAGAGGCAGGCAGGGAGTGACGGAGGGCTTTATATGTCAGCCCGGTGATACCAGCGTTTTTATGGCCGAATATTTTTCCTCTTGTCAGAGCTGGATAAGGAATCACCATAAGGTTGGGGAGCATGAATATTGCCCTTGAGGGCCCACTGTGGCCGCTCCTGTTTATGGTTGACTAGCAATCAGCCACCGATTCAGAGCCCGCAAACCCTCATCCATCCACGTCAGCAATTAATCAATTAAACGGGCGGAGGGGGGGGGGGGGGGGGGATCGGCTAGGTGTGTTAATACAATAGCCCGTTAAGGTTGATGTAATTTCATCACTAATGTCAGCCATTCATCACGGCTTATTATCTGTTTCGCATAGACAACGGTCAATATCACTTCATAAATCTGAGAATCATCTGGATCTCGTGATATTAGGCCTGAAGGATGCCGCGGAATGATGGACTGCGGAGAACGCGACTCCGACTTAACAAGCCCCCCGAAAACATGCAGCACACACGTGATTAAAAAAAAAAGAAAAAAAAAAAAGATCTGACCTCAGATCTGCAACAGAAAGTGGAGCCTTATTCGTAAATATTACAGCTCACAAACACCATCTGTGTTGTCCTCGGATACTGTGCGTCTGATAATATACAAATCACATCTCTAACTGTCCTCGTACTGCACAGAGAGGGGAGCTAAATAAACTTCACACTGCACATTCTGCGTCTTCTTGATTAATCCTCATGGGTGCAAACTAACAATAAAATTAGCCCACGCTGCGGATCCTCGCTAGGCCCCAGACCACATTTTTTGGAACCAACACATGATGTTCCCCAGCCTGTTCACCATGTAGCATCATGTACAGACTTTTATCATGATGGGAAAGGAAAGTTTGTGTGTGTGTGTGTGTGTGTGATTGTGTAAATAGCTGGCAGTGTGTAGGAGGAGGCCCTGTCCGCTCCTGTTGCCTCTCTTGAGCATGTGTGGGCCAGACCACATGTGATACACAAAGTGAGAGTGGTATTTGGCGAACCGATGGATATGAAGGCTTGTATCACTAACAATGTTTTTTTTTGTTTTTTGGACTCGAGCCACCGACAGCAGACAGTTTGTGCCAGTATTTCATAACTTGAAATGTCACCATTTTTCAAGGCCAAATTATCTGAAAACTTCCAAAGACTCGGTGTTTCTCTGAGCTTTCCATCCCAGTTATGGAGGAAGAAAAAAAAAGAAAGCCTTGGACACAACATTGGGACAATACTGGTAACGGGACGTAATATAATCTCGCTGCTGGATTACAAACCTGTTTGTATTTCTAGCTCCTGCAACTGTGTTGTTGTTTCCAATCTGTTTTCGACGTCTTTCTCTTCAGCCAGTTTTTTCTTGAGGATGGGTTGCTGAAGTCGTGGTGTTGTGAAGCTCATCGAGGCACCGTAAGCAATACTGGGCTATACAAATG